GCAGTGGATGAAGAAGCCACCATGATAACAAAGAATCCTGCCTCCTGGTTGGGGAGTGGAGGGAAGTTCATGGAAGAAGTTTGGTACTTATATGGTTGGTTGGTTATGGTGTATCCACAGTGGTGTGGAATTCTGGTAGCATAGTTGTTACAAGGCAGGCTGCTAAACCTTAAGGTCAGAAGTTTGAAACTACAGTCATTCTACAGGAGAAAGATGAGACTTTGTGCTCTCATAAAGATTTACAGCCTTGGAAACCCTATACAGGGTCGCTATGGGTCAGAACCGACTTGACAGCACTGAACAGCAACAACAGTGAATTGTTGTTGTTGTTGTTGTTAAGTACTGTCGAGTCGGTTCCGACCCATAGCGACCCTGTATAGGGTTTCCAAGGAGCAGCTGGTGAGCTTGAACTGCCTACCTTGCAGTTTAAACGGCTTTGCAGTCTGGCGCATTAACCCCCAGCGCCACAACAGTGAGTAGAGGGGGTGGGGGAAGTTCTGCAAGCAGACGTTCGTGTGTTCCCAGTAGTCTGACTGGAAAGATGAGGTCATTTTTTGTGGCAAGTAGAGAGCAAGTAAGGTGGAGAGTGGGTCAGCGAGAGGCTGTTGAGTCAGGCACTTTCAGTGTTGAATCAGGGCTGTGGTGAGTCAAAAAGGGTGTGTTGAGTTTTTTAAACCTTTTTTCCTCCCCAAACAGTTGCTTGTCACTCAGTAAAGTTGCATATGTTTAGTTTATTAACAATCTATATTTTCATTCATCCCTGTTTAGGCCACATTGCGATCCACCCTTGCCTCATCTTGATGACAGGGTACTTAGCAGTGTAGGCCAGGACGCATTTGGGGGACTTAGATTTTGAGGTTAATCATCTCCTTCCGAAGGTCAGTTCTGCAATACTAAGGAATGGAGGAATAAAGGACACCCACCTTTCTTCTCTGAGAAGCTGTAGGTATGCCCTGAGGTAGGTGAGTAAGTGGTTGGGGTCCCACAAGTCACAAGGCTGTGATTTGGCTCTGTGGGGTGCAAGGAGACCCCAATAAATAGCACTTCTCACCCTGCCAGAGGAAACATAGTATTAGAGAGGGTAAAGGAGTCCAGAGATGAAAAATATCACCTTCACTGTTAAAAAAACAGATCGGGGAAGGTGTGACTTAGATCCGACGTAAAGGGATCCTGGAGTCCCTGGGTGGTTCCATTGCTCAACACAGCCACTATTAACCTCGAGGTACACTGTTCTATGTGGACACACATGGGTTGCCATGAGGCAAAGGTCACTAGGTTTTTGTTTTCTTTAAATGTAGTCAAAGGCAGATAGGAAACTATAGGTGTCTCTTCTTGGAAAGAGCGGAGCCGAATTCATGGCCTCCACCAGCAGGGGGGCTCCAGAGAGAAAGGGAGGGCTCTAAGCCAGAGGATAACCTAACTTGGTTGGCATACAGCATCCTTAAATAAAATAACCAAAACCCACTGCCAATGAGTCAGTTCCACTCATAGTGACCCTAAAGCACAGAGTAGAATGACCCCACTGGCTCTCCAAAGCCATAAATCTTTATACAAACAGATGGGCACATCTTCCTTCCACGGAATGACTGGGGTGGTTCCAACTGCTGACCTTGTAGTTACCAGCCCAACGCGTACGCCACCAGTACACCAAAGACAGTGAAAGTCACTGTCTGTGGATGGGTTCGAACCACTAACCTTTCAGTTAACAGCCGACGGCACTAACTTACTGCACTGCAGAGACATCCAGGGCCCAGAGGCCAAAAGAAATACCCACCAGTTTGATCTGTTAAGAAAGTTAGGGCCAAGCATCTGAATGGCGGTAGTATCTGGGGCTCTGGGAAGTGTCATCATGTTTGCTCTGTGAGTTGCTGTGGAGCTGCCTCCTCGTGGAAGAAACCTTCAGGAGTGGGAAGATGCCTCCTTTACCCCTCACCCCCACAATGACCAGGGCAGCTGAGATGCAGTTCCCATCACTCAGCTAGAAGACTGGGCACTGCCTTCAGTGTGTGTTTAGAAGCCGTGTGGTCCACGGTTGGTTCTTCATCTCACATCAGTCTTTGAAAGAGAAATGGAAGGTGAGCTGGCAACCCCCGAGCGCAGTGGAATACATTCCTACAGTCCATCCGCTCAGTTCTGCAGCCCTGCAGTCAAACAGTGTGAAGGCCAAGAAGAAACTTCATTTCATTTCACAGAGTTGGACACTGTCAGTTCTGCAGAGCTCTGGACACACACTTTGGCCTTTGCCCACAGCCCAAGCTGGAAGCATGGGATGATGTTAAATAAATGAACAGCTGAACCTTCATATCTACCCGAGCCAAACAACCAAACGGCCTCTCACGTATGATGCAAATGTCCTATTAATAACAAAATGTGTACTCCATGGTGGATTTCTAGTCATAAATAACAGAATACTTCCTGAGCGTGCCTTTCATTGAAATCACAGACCAGCAGTCTGCATGGGCAGCTTGGCTGGCCAAGTGTGTGTTCCAATCAGTCAGATTGGCCTCATCAGGAAAAAGCCAACATTAGCAAAAATTAGAGTTGCTAAATGTGCAAAAAAATTTACCAGTGTCGGTTAGTGTTTAATTCCTTTGTATTAAAATGTTACTGTGTTACCCTCAATACATACAAATATGAGAGTGTGTAAACTGTGTATGAAAATGCTTTTCCATTTTACCTGTCCCCATCTCCCACCCAAAAGAAAATACCTTCTAGATTAAACTTCTAGGGAATTAGAAGTCCTTGGGTGGCACAAAAGTTTAATGCCAGCAAAAGCTCACCCAGAGGTGAAGACCTGGTTGACCAGCAGTGAGGCAAGACCTGGGGACTCTTGGGCCCAGAGTCAGTGACATAGCCACAGAGGACTAGAGTGGAGAGTGAAGCATCCAACTGATAATAAGAGGGGACATATGCACAAGAACACCCACACTTGCAGATAATACCCACTTGACCTGGCTTCAATGATTGGATGATCAGAGCTCAACTAGAAGAAGAAAGAAGAGGAAAAAAAGAGTAATCTGATACAATATGATGAACTTAACCTTCACCTATGGATGCAGTAGCTCAAAAGAGGGAACAAATCCTTACAGCAAGGATCATTCCCACCCCCTCCATACACAGAGTAGATAAGGATGGGCAATTTGGACATTGGCTACCCAAAATGGGGGGGGGGGGGGGGAGGGAGCCTACAAAGGTAAGAAGTGACTAGCTTACAAGCTTTCAAGAGGGAGCCTAGATCCAGAAAGCATGGAGGAAGGTAGAATCTCCATTGAGTAGTATCCAATCTGTCTGGGTGGGGCTGATGAAAAGAGATAGCTCTCTTCTGGTACAATAGTGAATAATTATTATCAGAACTGACTGAGAGGCTTGCTAATGTAAAGGTAGATGTTTTGTAGCAAAAGGAGGGGAGTGATTGACTTTGCAGTCTAGAAGTGGAGGTCCCTGGGACCATCAAGTGAGAAGAGCGGAATTTAGGACCCTACCCAGAGAAGCTGTGACACCAGAGATGGAGGCAGAGATGATGACGTGGAGAGATGGGAGTGGCTGGAGACTTTAGACCCAGAGAGGGAGAAGGGCTGTGTGCTGACAACCACGGGTCAGACTTGTAGTGTATACCCTTTGGTTGGTTGATGATGCATGGAGGGGATTGGAACCATGGCAATGAAATGATATACGATAGGATGAATGTAAAACTAATGTTCTCCCATGTAAACGATCACATAATTCACAATAAAACATTTTTAAAAAAATAAAAAAAACAAAACTCATCCAGAGGCTCCTCAGAAGAAAGACATGGTGATCTACTTCAGAAAAGGAGCTATTGGAAACTCTGGACCATAGTTCTACTCTGACATTTATGGGGTCACCAGGAATTCGAGTTAACTTGATGAGAACTGAGCTCTGGAGATAGAATGGTTAAGCATTCAGTTGCTAACTGACAGGTTAGCCATTCAAATCCCCCAACAGCTCTCGGGGAGCAAGAGTTGATTGCAGCCTAGAGAATGTTGTCCGGGGCGGTTCTCTGTCACTGTGAGTTGGACCACAGCAATGTGGTTAGCTAGGGTGGTAAGGAATCAAAGGTGGATGTGAGGAGTTGAGGATGGATGTGAAAAGTCAAGGATGGATGTGAGGAGTTGAGGATGGATGTGAGAAGGCTCTGGTTAAGGGTACCACTGTGACTTCCCTGTGGAAGGAAGCATGCCTGTTTTGGAGGGCCAGGGGCCTTTAGAGGAGGCTGGCTAAGCAGGACCCTGGCAGCCAGCCTCTGCTGCCCCTGGTGGACGCTCCGGTTTCCCCCCTCGCCTGGCCCTCTGGCTCTGACCTCACACTGCAGTCCCCCTCTTCCCTGTCCCACCTGGGTGGTGGCTCAGCATTTTTGCTGCTTTCCTCCTTGGTGTTCCCAACGCCTCATCACAGCTCTTCCTCTGGTTTTCCACTTCAGTCTTTAGAGACTCGGTTTCCTTGTCAGTTAAATGAGTCCCCTTAGTAATCTCTGCTTGCTTCATAGAGGAACCCTGAGATGGATGGTAAAGCATTTTGTTAACTGCAGAAATATTCTCTACAAATGTCAAGTGTTTCAAATCGTTAGCTGAACTATTCCTCAGCTAAAGCCTCTTCTGTCCATAGTCCTTGTGTGACACTATAGGATAAGCACTGGACCGAAAGGTCATTTTGAACAGCAAGGTTGGATGTTCAGACTCAGGGTTGTTATGAGTCAGAACCGACTTGTCGGTACAACATGTGTATTTTAGTTATAGCTCCATGCACAATGATTCTGTGTCAAATAGCAAATGTAAATGCTACTGTTTTTTTCCTGCTTGGAGTTTGGAGGTTCTTTTGCAACTTTATGGTGTGGACTGACTACTCCTCTGACTCCCGCTTTTCCTCTGGATACCTGAGCAGGGTCCTAATCCATCAAACATACAAGCAATAAGCCCTGATTGCCAGGAGCGAATCACTCGCTCGCTTCTAAATGCAACCTGTCCCTGTCTCTCCCGCAGAGCCGAGACTGCGTGAAGCTGGGCCCTCCCGCTGAGGGTGAAGTCGTGCAAGTCAAGTGGCCCGATGGCAAACTCTACGGGGCGAAATACCTGGGCTTGAACGTTGCCCACATGTACCAGGTGGGTGCTTGGGTCCCAAGTGTGTTGCTGATTGAAAGGTGAACGCAGGACATCTGCTATTTTGTACAGTCCTGGTGGCGCAGTGGGTTATGCTGTGGGCCGCTAACTTCAAGGTCAGCAGTTCGAGTCCACTCGTCGCTCTGTGAAAGACAGAGGAGGCTTTCCAGCTGTGAGGTGGAATCGACTCCATAGTATCGGGTTTGGTTATTTTATGCAAGTCTCTGGAGTGGTGCAAGTGGCCAGGTACATGGCTACCAATGGGAAGGCTGGAAGCTGGAACCCAACCAGAGGAGCCTGGGAAGACAGGTCTGCGGAATTGCTACCACAAGGTCCCAGCTACGTGGATGCTGTGGTACACACACATGGCCAGCATGGGTTGGAATCGACTTGACAGCAACAGTGTTGTTGGCTTGGGGTGGTTTTATGAAGAGGCAGAGATGGTCCTGGTTGACATGCTGGAGCATACGGTGAGGTTAACAGTGTGTGCTGACTGGGTTAGTCTTAAGGAGTGTGGTTTTATTAGGATGGGAAGCTACCAAATGACCAGCTGTTTTCTTGATTTCCCATTATGTGGGACCAGCCCGAGTGCTTGGCTCATCTCACCTGCAGCCCAGGTAATGCTGGGTCTTCCTCATCCCCAAGTCCCGAGTTGGCAGGGTCTGAGGCTTCTCAGCAAAGCGAACTCGTGCTGCGTTGGCACCCAGGTAGCCTGTCGGTGTGACAAGGAGCATCGCTTCTGAGAAACCTGTGGCTCGCACGTGAGCATTCTCACTGGACTACCTGGGACCAAGTGTGTAGCTGGTTAAAAATGAAGTGATGTGATCCCTACCAAACCTGAGCCTGAGTCTTCCTCTGGGGAAGGAAGCAGCAGAGGCCACGTGTGTGCCTTCGGTCAGGAAGGCTTGAAACAGGGACACGTTTAGTAGAATCCAAAGACTGTAGTATTGTCTGCAACACTGAGACCGAAATCAACATTCTTGGGCTAAGCAGCAGAATGAAAACTAGAAGATTGAATTAAAAGGAGAAAAAGCAAGAAAGTCCAGGTCCGTTAACTTGAGAAACAGCTTAGGATTGATAAGACTGCCAGTTGGAGTAGAGAAATTGTTCAAAGACCGATAAGGGGCAAGGCCTTAAATTGAAGAGTACTTTATAAGACAACTGCCTCAGGAATGGAGCACGATATAATGAAAGTTGTTCAGAGAAGTTTGGAAAACTTTTCTCATGATGCAGAAAAAATCCCAAGGGAGTGGGGAAGAGAGACTGTGTGTGTACCCTGTGGTTATGTTTGTTTTTATAGGGGTATACTGTCTGGGGGGGGGGGGGGGATTCCTGGTGTGGTGTGTGGGTTAATGCGCTGGACTGCAATATCAATTTGAACCACGAGATAAGTGATTCAAGCTCACCAGCTGCTCCTTGGAAACCCTATAAAGGGTCGCTATGGGTCGGAATTGACTCTACGGCACTTAAGACAACATGTATGGGGGGTGTATGAATATAGGATGTACATGTATGGATGTGTGTGTGTATAGGGGTGTAAATGTATGGGTGTGTATGTATATAGGGTGTACATGTAGGGACATGTATGTGCATGGGGTGTATATGTATGGTAGATAGATATCATATTTGGTAAGGTGGAGGGTCAGAGAAAAAGAGGAAGATCCCAGCAAGATGGATTAGCAAAGTGGCAGCATCAATGGGCTCAAGTGTGGCAACAACTGTAAGGTTGGCCCAGAATCAGGCAGTGTTTCATTCTGTTGCACACAGGGTTGCTATGAGTCACTACCAACTCAGTGACACCTAACAGCAACATGTATGGGTGTGTATGTATACGGGTGTGTACATGCATGGATGTGTATATATGGGGTGTATACTTTGGGTGTGTATGTGTGGGTGTGTATGTATGTATATGGGGTATATATGAATGGATTATATGAGGGTGTACATGTGTTGGGGTGTATATATATAAGTGTGTGTGCATATGGGGGTGTATGCATATGGAGGTGTGTGAATTTGTGTATGGGAGATGTATGTCCAAAGCCCACTGCTCCCACTTTTGGGGAAATTGTTCATTTGCAGATTCAGGGTCTTTTTCCTAAGGGGTCAGCTTGCTTGAGTCTCTTTTATAGCAAAATTTTCAGAAGTAGGCAAAAAATCACCAGAGAGGCCTATAATATTAGAGTCTCCTAGAAAAGATGCATCAGTTCATTATTCAGAAGGAAATAATCACACTTAATTAAACAATAAGTGCAAAAGTAAAGCTTCTTACAGCAAAGCTATTTGCTACATGAAGAGGATCCCATAATGAGGACATGCTCAAATTCAGACTAATTAGCAATCACCGTGTTAACTTCTGTTGAATTTATGATGGCCTAGTAGCAGAGAACTATGGGCATATTTATAGACTCCATGAAAAAGTTAAGACGAATCTTAACTGGCTCTCAAGCACACGTAATTTAAAATTCCACAGGAATCCAAGTGGCCTTGTGAGATCATTTTGTTTAGTGTCTTAATTATTCAAGTTCGCATTGAATATGTAAAGACTCATTAATGAAAATGCATACAACTTAGGTATCTTTGTACAGTGCTAAAATCGAAATACATGTTGTTTTTGACCCTAATACCAACCCAAAGCAAACCCGCTGGCTTGAGCGTATTCCGACTTCTAACAAGCATATAGGACCAGGTAGAACTGCCCTGTTATCTGGACAGAGCACACTGCCACATCTTTCGGACATGAAACATCTGGTAGGTTTGAAGTACAGCCTTTGGGTCTGCAGCTGAGTGCTTACCTTCTGCACCACCAGAGCTACTTTGGACAGTCATTAGTAGCCCTGAAAGACAGGTGTTACTGATTTTGCTTTTACAAATGAGAGGAAGAAACGCTCTAAGAGGTTTTAATAGATTTTCAAGAGAAGGGCTAGAATGTTCTCTCAGTTCTGTCTCAACTTAGGTCAGCTCTTCTAGAATGTACAAACAGCTGGTTTTAAAATTACTTGCAGTTACTTTGGGTGGAGAGGTTTAAGCATTTTTCTTCTTATTGTTAAGTATCGTCGGGTCAGTTCCAATCCATAGCGACCCTGTATAGGGTTTCCTAGGAGCAACTGGTGAACTTGAACTGCCGACCTTGCGTTCAAAGTGACCTTAGGTCCAGCGCATTAACCCACAGTGCCACAGCATGTTTTCACACATCGACGTGGTTTATAGTGTTATGAAATGGAGAAAGCAGGATTTCCCTGGCCTGTTAGATTGAATTGGACAGAAGAAGTAAGCTTCAGAGTTGAAGTTCTGTAGGAGCTTGAGTAACTGTCTCCATCTGGGAAGATAATTGTTGTGTGCCTTTTAGTTGGTTGCAACTCATCGCGACCCTGTGTGGGGTTTCTGAGGTGGGCTTGAACTACTGACTTTGTGGTTAGCAGTTCAGGGCTTTTCCTACAGCGCCACATCAGGGCTTGGGAGGGTAATTTGTTGTTGTTGTTAAGTGCTGTCAAGTTGGTTCCGACTCATAGTGACCCTGTATAAGGTTTCTGAGGAGCAGCTGGTGAGCTTGACCCGCCAACTTTGTGGTTCTGACTGACTTTTCAGTACAGCGCATTAACCCAGAGTCACAGCAAGACTAACTACACGTGAGTAAAGTCATCATCTTTTCATTCCCAAAGAGAAACAGCCCTCCCTGTTACATTGTCAGAACCTCTTAAAACAGATAAAGGACACCAACAGGTACTGCCCAGCTTGATGGTTACATTGTCACAATCTCAGATTCTCTCAGAAATTGTTTGAACCACAGCTACTTTTCTGGGTTTGGGATTAGGGGTGGGTGGGGGGAGGATAAGTTTTCACCTCACATATTGCCAGTCACTCATTTTTCAGGACTTTGGCCTATTTTAAGAAGGTGTTTTGTCCTTAGTTGGATGAGGGAGGGGTCTCATCTCAGCCTATGGACTGACTCTGCTTTCCCTGATTTTCTCTGTTATGTTCCTTTTGTTTGTTCTTGTTTTAAGCAGCTGATTTTAACCCTTAAATGGCCAGTGCTTGTTTTTAATGACTTTTAAATGACTGTTGTGATGTCTTAATCTCCCTTAGGTTGAATTTGAAGATGGATCTCAGATAGTGATGAAGAGAGAAGAGATCTACACTCTAGACGAAGAGTTACCCAAGCGAGTGAAGGCTCGTTTAGTAAGTGCTGCCAAGCGCCCCACAGGGACCCCTGGGGGACAGTCTCTTCTTTCTCCTGTGATCCCCCAGCCCACCTGGAAACATACCTGAGCCTTTAGATTGGCTCTGAGGCTAACCAGCCCAACCATCCTTATTGAAACCTATTGAATGCAAAGCTCACATTAGGACAAAGCCCAGGAGCCAGGTACACCTGCCTTGGTTTTTCTTTCTAATGAAGCCAAATGATACTTGTTTGTTTAATGCTGATTGGCATACAGAAACTGGGCTGTGATGATGCGCATTGTGCCTGGCTCCGGAGCATACACAGATACAGTGAAACGGGTCAGAGCCGGAACTCGGCGCCACTGCCTTGTTTTTCTGGGTCTCACTTTGGACACAGGACGCTGTCTTTTCCTGCTCTCATTTGAGTAGAAAGTAGATTGTAGTTTTCCTCCTCTGACTGGTTTCCACTTCACACAGGTTCCAGCTTCCACAGGTCTTTACGGTACCACGCAGGCCTTTACAATCCTGGTAGTAGGATCAGCGCTAAAAGAAAGCATTCAGTACTAGATTCAAGTGTGGTCTGTTTCCTATTGCCTTGTTGTATCGTTAGCTTCTCTCTCAGAAGGTCACTGCTATTGGCATCAGTTCCAAATTAAGTCAAACTCTCATTGCCATCATGTTGTTGTTAAGTAGTGTGGAGCCGACTCATAGTGACCCTGTCCAGGGTTTCCGGAGCTGTAAATCTTCATAGGAGCAGAAAGCCTCATCTTTCTCTTCTTGTGGAACAGCTGGTAGTTTCAAACTGCTGACCTTGTGGTTCGCAGCCCGATTCGTAACCACTACGCTACCAGAGCTCCTTAGTGTTGTTAAGTCCCATCGAGTCAGCTCCGACTCATAGCAACCCTTTGTAGGGTTTCTGAGGAGCAGCTAGCTGGTGGGTTTGAACTGCCCACTGTGTGCTTTTCAGTCCAGTGCTGGTCCTACAAAATCACACCAGGAGTAGTATAGGATGTGAAACAGTCTTTTTAAAATGAAAATATTGTCAGCTTCTACTCTCTTGTTGTTGATGTTAAGTAACATCCAGTCTGGGTCCACCTCATGGTGACCTTGTAAACAACAGAATGAAATGGGACCCAGCTCGGTGCCACCTTCGTGGCCATTGGTATATTTTGAGTCTACTGTTGGGGCTACTCAGGTCCTGTACAAACCACTAAATAGAGGAATAAACATGGACTGATCATCAAAGCTGAGGCTGTTGGAGAATATATAATTCACAGTAATGTAGTTTTTATATTATTGTATCATAAAATAGTTAGTGGACCCTGAAATGAAGTGACTTTTATTCATTTAGAGTTAGTACATCGGCCACATCTCAGCAGTGTTGTTGCTGTTGTTAAGCGCTCTTGGGTAGGTTCTGATGTACAACAGAGCAAAACACTGACCAGTCCAGTACCATCCGCAGAGCTCACAGCTGCAGCCTTTGTGTCGCAAACTGGGCAATTGGAAGACAAAACCAACCTTTTTCTGGCTAAATGGCACTCCGTTTTCTGTGGTGATGTAGTCTCCGTGGATTATGTGGGAAACCCCTCGGGTCTCCTTCATCATTCAGCTCTACATCCCAGTCCTTGTCTGTCAGTGGACCCTGAGAACAGGTAACTGGATCAGGCGTGAACGGCTTTCCCTTCACACCTAAGAAGAAAGTCTTTCAAAGGGAAAGCATCGAGCCAACAGTGATAGTAACAGTACTGCCACCCATCAATTAGAAATGACTGAAAACGGATTAACCACCTGGTGTGGCACTATTGGATAAGCACTGGACTGCTAACTGCAAGGTTACTGTTTCAAACCCACCAGCCACTTCTTGGAAACATTACAGAGTCGCTATGAGTCGGAAGTGACTCAGCGGCACAAAGCAACAATGCTGGATGGCACTGAACAACAGCAACAAATATACAAGAAAAAAAACAACACAAAACAAAAAACCCACTGCCATCAAGTCAATTTCAGGTCCTTGTGGGTTTCCCAGACTGTCAGTCGTCACGGAAACAGACAGCCTTATAGCTCTCTCTTGGAGAGGCTGGTGACTTTGAACCGCTGACCGTGTGGTTAGCACCTTAATGTCTAACCCACAACGCCATCACAGAGAAAGAGGAAATCAAATATCCTATTGTCAAGGCATGAGCTTAGCCTTGTCAATGACCTAGAAAACCTAGATCACTGGTCAGTGTTCTAAGATCTGGACACCTGTAGAGAACAAGGTTGATTTTTAAGATGCTAGAGATTCCCTGCTCTTCCCTTCCAAGGATTCACTCTCTATCCTTTCCTCCTAGTTAGTGAGATGGGGAATGGAGTCGGTGATCCCTTTCTAGTCTCTCTGATCTTGGTTTTCTTATCCATGTTTGGTTAGCCTCCCAGCTGGGTCCACAGAGTTCAAACACCACTTGGTAGCCGCATTAGAAGACAGCTCTTCCTGCCCTACCTTGACCACTCTCCGTGTTCCATAATTGAGATTTTGCTCAGATACCTGCATGCCCTCACAGGTGGCTTTATCTGAGTACAGCTTCTGAGCTTTCTTTCCAATGGTCCATTTCTTTGAATTATTAACAGCAACGTTCAACTTTTTCTTTTTTCACTTCTTGGAGAAAAATATTTCAAATTAAAAAAAGAAAAGAAAAATATATCACACACCTGCATATAATCTGAATGCAGTGTGTCGTGTGGTACAGTTAGGTCTGGTGGGAAATCTATTCAGAAACCAAGGTTCGCAGCCTCTACCTCGGGTTGGCCTCTTCAGTCAGTTTGTACTGAAACAGACTTCTGTCTCCTGATGGCCAATCTCTTTGTCTTCAGCTTGGTCTAGATTCCTCAGGCTCTTGTTTAGCATATGATGCTATTCCCTCCCAGTTAGTAAAACAAATCTAACAGAAGGACTCATTGATGGAAGATTTTTTTTTTTTTTTTCTGAAGGTTTTTATTGTGGATTGAGTGAAAGTTTACAGGGCACATCATCAGCTCTACACACAACAAATCATATACCTTGTATTGTTACAATGATTATAATCCCCTCCATGTACCATCAGTTATTCAATGAACTGTATCTCTCTGTATTCACTGTAGCCTTTAAAAAAAAAAAAAAATCAGGCATATATAATAATTTACACCGCTAAAGGACACATTCTACAAGCCTGCCTCCTGGCCACCATCTCTTAGTTCCTCAACTACCATGAATCTAGAGTCCACAGCTACTCCCTCTCTCCATGTCCCCATCTCTGGTGTTGCTGCTTCTTTGGATAGGGTCTCACATTCCTCATGTACTCATCTCCCTTGATGGTCCTTTGTTTCTGGACTGTAAGATTAACTACTCCCCCATTATTGTTTCAAAACCTCTACTTTACAATGTGACAGTCGTAATTAGTTATAACATTTACTCACTATTGAATCATAAGAACCTTATCCCCATCTCTTTTAACCAGACCCATCTAGATAAGATGACAACTGTTCAGTGGGGACTCTTTCTTCCCCTACACATTCTTAAACTAAACTCCCCCTTGAAACCTTGTAAGCCAGACACTTTGTGCCTTCATTGCTTTCTCATTTTAGGCAGCCAATGTCTAAGTTGCCCTTCCACATCTATCCTGTGTACAGAGGGGATAAGCTTAATACTTGATGTGAAGACTCCTTCCCTCTATGTTGGTATTTAGAGTTACTACCTCCATGAGTATAGATCAAGTTCATCAAATTGTAGCAATTTACCCTAGTTTCCTTTATCAAAAATTGCTTTCTTCTTCTTTTTTAAATCTTCCTCTAGTCAAGTTCTAATTATCAAGCCATCGAGTCTAGGTCAAATGGGTACTATCTGTAAGTTTGGGTGTTCTTGTGCATCTCTCCTCTCACTTCATATCAGCTGGATGCTTCACTCTCAGCTCTAGCCCTCTGTGGCTATGTCCTTATCCATGGGCTCAGCTGTCCCCAGGTCTCACCATACTTTGGACCAACCAGCCCTTCCTCTTCTTTCTCTCATCTCCAGGTCAACGGGAATCTATGGAATGTGGTTGAACTCATTTCTTCATTGCTGTCTTTCCCCCTCTTCCACTCACTAGTAGAACAATGTGGTTGTCAGCATGCTTGTATGCCTGCTCATGTGTTCCCTTTGAGTTTCAGTCTCAGAGGGGTGTTTGTCCTGAAGGAACTTGATTGCTTGCCTTGATGGCTTCCTGGTGAACAACTTGCTTATTCTTATAGCAAGTCATACTGAAATTTTTGTTTTGGGTTTTCCCTGATGATCTTTCTTTGAAGATGTATCTTCTGTCACTCTAGTTGTTCCAGGTTGGTCTGCTTGTCCTTTCTAATAAGAATGTTCCACCTCAGAAGGTTCTGGATGGGGCTCAGGATTCCACTTAAGGTCCTATAATCTGCAAAGGCTCCACATGAGGCCTATTTCACTGGGCAAGTTCTCGAACCCCTTTTAGGTATTCCAATCAGTTTGAGGCTGAAGATAGGCTTACAAAATTTCTATAGTCAGGTTTCCTGGCATTTCTTTCTATCCAACTCCAGTGTCCATTTTACAGTAGTAGGCAAGGGAAACCAGTATACATAGGACAGTCAAGCATCTTAGTATTATTTCCCCTCTTCAGGGTATGCCTAGATCCCTGTATCCCAGAGCCCTGTTGTTCCAAGATTGAGCATGCATCAGCCCATGCAAACCTGTCTCAGTGTTCCCCTATCTACCTTGTTCTTCATGATGGAAGATACTTTTGATTAGTGATATATATTTTATAGGGGTTGGCAGCCCTCAATGGGAGGCAGACACCATGTTTTAATGCCTCTGCTTACCCAGACATAAGCTGACTTGGAGAGAATTTTTTTCAAAAGACTCAGCAGTCCACCTCAGCGATTGTGCTGGCTTCTTTTCCACTAAGTTCAGAAATGGCTCCATTATGTTTTATTGTCTCTCAGAATCACCATGGCAACACTGGGTAATTAACTAGAGCCACTGGTAAGTGGTTTTATGACTATCTCTGAGGCCGGCTTTTACTGTTCTTATACAGTGGTAACGCTGCTATCCAAGTTTGAGGATCTCCTTTGATAATTTCAGCACGTATACAAGTCACTCAGAGGTCTTGCATACGCGCTGAAATGAAGTTCCAGGATGCTGAAACAGAAATGTTCTCTCCAAATGCCTCATGGAGCCCAACTAACCCAACACAGTGTGACTGTGTCTGGGAGCCCATGGAGGCAACCTTGGAGTCTGGATGGCCCTCGTGAGCTTCACCAGGTGACCTACTGTTTTGTTTTGTAGTGTCTTGATGCTGTTCCATTGTTTTGAGCCTCTTCATGATAGATTATGTGTTTTCAATCTCCAAACGCTGAGCTCTAAACACTGACGTCCCGGTGACTACAGTGACTATGTTGATGCTGGTGGGAGGGAGCCGCCTCAGTGAGAACCAGCTAGGAAGGCAGTTAGGAGGCCGATTATTGGAGGGCATGGTCCTTAGTTGTTTGAAGTCAGTTCCCTATGTGTGTGACCACTGGCTCTTTTCAGTCCACAGCCTCTGATATGCGATTTGAAGACACGTTTTATGGAGCCGACATAATCCAAGGGGAGAAAAAGAGGCAGAGAACATTGAGCTCCCGGCTGAAGAATGAGTACGTGGATGATCCGCTGTACCGTACCTTCCTGAAGAGCACCTTCCAGAAGAAAAGCCAGAAGAAACAGTAGGCGGCTGCCTGGCTGCCAGCTCCCTGGGAGATGACGTGGGCTGCACAGTGTTCCCCAAGGGTGGGGTGGTGGGGCGTATCCTGACAGCAGTATGCTGGGCTTCCAAATTGTGATCACCAAAGTCACTAAAGACACACAGAATTGGTTGCACGTAGTAATCCCAAACCATCTTCTAGGCCAACTTTCACTTAGGTACAACCGGCTTCACCTTTGATCCCAAAGAATTTTTCTAAGTGAAAGAATTAGTAGTGAATCACCCACCAAATTAAAAGCCACTGCCAGGGAGGTGGGGGTGCCCCATGTGACTTAGAGCCCCCCAGTCAGGAAACAGATTGCACTCCCCCACCTCCAGCCAATGGGCGCCTCATTACCCAGGTGCGGGGCGGGGGTGATTTATATATTTTCCACAGTCAGGGACGGACCCTCACTTATTTTTCCTTTTTAATAATAATAATAAAAAAGCAGTTTTTATAAAACATTTTTACACCACAAATGGTATGTATGGGAAAGAGATTTGCCTGTGTGTGCTGTCTGTCCGTATGTGCCCTGTACAGAACTTTTACACTTTTTTACATCCCTTATCCCTTTTAATTGTGTCTGATGAGAAGCGAGTTGTTGGTCTTTGTGACTTGTACGACTCTTGATAAATAATTCTTATGAATTGTGTGGGGACTTTCTATATTTAATGAAGGAGATCAGGGGGCTGCTATTTTTAAATACTTTTCTTTTCCTAATGCAGATTCTGAGTAGATATTTATAAGATAATAATAATAATATGTTTATGATGTGTTTGTAAAATCAAGAGTTTACAGAAATATGCTCTGATGGATAATTTTGAACTAATGTAATATGATTTTTTTTTCCTTTTTAAATCAACCTGAGAATGTACTGATGTTTTAAAATAAAGATTTCCACTTTCTCCAATCCTGCTTTCAGACTTGGTCATTCGTCTGAGTGTAAACCTTTAGAAAAAAACAAGTTTGTTGGGGAGCCGCTAGCAAGACTGACTGTTATTATTCATTTGATTTCTTGACTCATGGTGACCCCATGTGACAAGTAGAAAAAACTGCACCACCATAGGATTTTGTCACTGGTGTGCTATAGGATCAGCGCTGGACTGCTAGCTGAAGATTGACAGTTTAAACTCACCAACCGCTCCTTGGAAACCCTACGTGCAGGGTTGCTATGAGTTGGAACAGACGCATGACATTTAACAACAACATTAAACCTCTGTCAGGTCTGTCTCCTGTGGAGCTGCTGGGTGGGTTTGAACTGCCAACCTTTCAGTGAGCAACCAGGCATTTAACCACTGCATCCCCAAGGCCCATACAAGACGGGCCTGGACCCAGGGTTTCAGATGTCCCTCCCATCACTGGCTTTCTGCATAATTGGACATGTCTTCAGACTTTGATGGTGTCACTGGAGAGTTGTAATTTGCCAGGCTGGAGTCCTGGTTAGGCACTGCAGGATAAAGCACTGCACTGCGAAGTCAGTTTGAATCACAAAGTCGGCAATTCAAACCCACCAGCAGCTCCCTAGAAACCCCAACCTGGGTCACTATGAATCGGGATCAATTCAACCGCACTTACCAACAACAGGGTTAACTGGAGAGATTGCCTCAGTAACTCCTACAAGACCTTGACTAAATCTGGAAACCTGTATTCTAGAGCACTCTACATGTCAGCTTTCCGGTTTTGCTCGGTGCTATCAGGTCCGTTCTAGTTCATAGTGACCCTTTGTCCAACAGAACAGAACCCTGGCCCGTCCTGTGCCATGCTCACCATTGTTAGGTTGGACCCCATTGTCTCTGCTCCTGTGTCAGTCCATTGTGTTGGGGGTCTTCCTCTTTTCTGCTGAACCTCCACTTTACCAAGCATGATGTTCTTCTCCAGACTGGTTTCTCCAGATAACGTGTCTGAAGTACGTGAGAAGAAATCTCACCGTTATGTATGGCAGAACTAAAGGTGACCTGATCTTGGGCCAACATTATTGCTGTGTTTGAGTTCATTGTCATGGTTATTCTATTGTTCATCTCCTGGAGTGTGGTCTTGGTTTTGGTGACCCTTCACTTTACCAACTATGATGATGGTCTTTCTAGGCTCCTGTTACCATTCGGAGGGATTGATGGGCTCCTCCAATTTCTCTGTTCAGCAGCACAGGCATGGGATGGGACCACCCAAAGTTCCACAGTCCTTGGCAGCTGCTTCTGGTGACAAAATCTGCATAAAAAATCTCAGTGGCTGCTTCTAGAAGCATGTTTGCTCTTGATGCCATCATGTGCTGACCTTGGTTGGATAAGTTGGAACATCTGTTCCACATGCCTCCTCCCACCCTTTTGCTGGGTCTACTGGGCTGGCCCAAGGAGCTCTGGTAGCGTAGTGGGTACGAATTGGGCTGCGAACCTCAGGGTCAGCAGTTCGAAATTACCAGCTGTTCCATGGGAGAAAGATGAAGCTTTCTGCTCCTGTAAAAATTTACAGCCTGGGAAACCCTGTACAGGGTCACTGAGTCAGAACCGACTCCACAGCACATAACAACAACAACTGGGCTGGCCCAGGTATGTTCTTCTCATGTTGAAGCAGCAGAGGTCCAAGCCAGGCCAGCCTCACACATTTCCATCCTCCCTGTCATGTTGGTATCTCATGGAGCAAAAGCAAGTGCCGTGGTCAACTCCAGAGCCAGGGTCAAGTGTGTGGACGTGTCACTCCAAGTGTGTGGGTGTGTCAGTCCTTTACTGGAGAGAAACAGAAAGTCAGTTAAACTCCATTCTCATTTCCCAGAGTGCCTCAGGGCTGAACTCTGAGCTGCGCCCACCTGCTTTATTTTTACAGTGAACGAACATTCCACATCCTCCAACAGTGTGGTCATAGACCTTAGCAAGGGATCAAGTACAAATTGTCTGTGGAACTGACCTGCCATCACCAAGGGATGCCAGGAAAGCAGGGCTGCCTAAGGCATCAAGAGGCATGAATTTAAATGGGGTCATTCATTCGGTATAAGTTTACTTGTCAGCAAGATTTCTGATGGGCTGGCTCAGGGAGGAACGGGCATCTTCCTATAGGATCTCAAATACAGCTGTCTTCTATGGTCTCACTTCACTCTAATGTGCTTATAACCAACTACAGCTGTCAGTTGTTGTTGTTAAGTGCCGTCGAGTCGGTTCCCACCCATAGCGACCCTGAACAGGGTTTCCGAGGCTGTAAATGTTTATGGGAACAGAAAGCCTCATCTTTCTCCTGCGGAGCAGCTGGTAGTTTTGAACTGCTGACCTTGCGGTTGACAGCCCGATTCGTAACCGCTACACTACAGTAGCCTTCGCCAACTAGAGCCAGCCACAGCAGTGCTCTCGCTATTGAGAAAGGTACCCTTGTCTCACTGTATACTGCAGAGGGGGTTTCTGGCTGAGCCAGACACATTGGTAAAGCTCTTCTTTCGCTGTGTGACACCTCAATCGTAATTTGAATTTCTTTACATTACATTAACTGCTTTTCAGTGTGTATGATGGGCTAATACGCTGGACTGTGAAATTGGTTTGAACCGTACTGTCAGTGGTTCAAGCTCACCAGCTGCTCCTTGGAAACCCTATACAGACAGGGTCACTATGAATCAGAAGTGACCCGACAACACTTAAAAGCAACAACATGTGTACCATGAAGTCAGTGGAAGTCCCTCTAGTATTTAAAAATGGGAGAAAATAATTGCTTAGCTGTGGCCATTTTAATGTAATTCTAATGACAAACTCTTTCTTTCCAGGCTAGAGGACCAATGAAAACTGCTTGGCACATTGCACATTTTAGTTCTTCTATGTGTGTTTGAAATGAAGAAAATGTGGTCCTTGTCAGTATGCTTTTATTAAGGACCTATTTATTTGGAGGCCTGGTGTGGCACTGTAGGAAAAGCTCTGAAATGCTAACTGCAAGGTCGACAGTTCAAACCTACCAGTGACCCTTTGGAAACCCTATATAGGGTCGCTATGAGTTGGATCTGATTTGAATGCACTTAACAACAACAACAACAATGTATTTATTTTTAGTTCAACTAGTGAGAAATTGAGAAGCATCCACTAAAATATTACTCGACCTCTTGAAATATAAATTGTTATTGGGTGGTTAAGTGCCGTTTAATCGGATCCTACTCATAGCTATCCTGTATAGGGTTTCCGGAGCTGTACATCTGTGGGGG